ATTCTGTAGAAGCATCAAAGAATAAATCATGGTGCTTTAGTACGTGTATCACATTCCCATGTTTTAGGTCTGAATCTATTTGTCTTATAGGCAGACTGTCTAATTAAATGTGCCATCCACAGATGCCTAGCCATACTGTATCAGTAACAGGCTTTATTCACTACCAAAAAGGTTTTTAAACTTATTTTCTATTTAGCTGGCTGCAAGGATGAGCCAAAGTAGTACTCTGAATGTCATGGGTTGATTTGCTCAAGAAAAACCACAAGTGTTACAAGTTTGCTCAAACTAGATTATTTACTTTCAAACCCCTGTACTGTAAATTCTACTTCTTTTCCACATAGGCAGTGCAAAGAAGCAATGATCTGTGTACACCCCAGCCTCTGGGCTATTCCTCCCTAGCAAGTGAGAGAATGGCCATCTGTACCCTCATTTCAGGTGTTGCTGAAGGAGAAGAGGCTATCTGGCACAGTACAACACTGTGTCTCCCTATTTCTCTGAGCCTATAGACAGCTGCAACCTGAGAGAGCAAAGATATCTTTAAAAATCTCTCAAGCCATCCTCTCCTGCCTAAAACTTGGCTGGGGGGGGGAATGCTGTATCAAAGCCATCACTCCAGGGAAGTTATCTCTTGTTTAGACATCACTAAGTGAGATTGGTGTTCTATTTATCAGTGCAATAAACTGTTTCTAAGGTACCCATCATTTAGTTTCCAAGATCTAGTACTGCTTTTATTCTTCTCTAAAGTGATCCATCCACAAGATGGAATTTAACAAGAAAAGAGAAGTATGGAGGCTTTGTAGGAGAAAGTCTATAAAAAACCTTCTATATAGTAAATAGAAAATCAATAAAGAAGGAAATATTTCCACACTTTGAAGAGTAATTGCAGGCCACAGAAGGGAATAAATAAACATAAAAGGAAGTAGAGTTCCTTAGAGAAGCAAGTTAAGCCTTACCTTTTTTTTTTTTTTTTTTTTTCAGAAAAGAGTGCCAGAATTGTTAGAGACTTAGCTAAGCCTATGTGGGCCAAATTCTACCTCAATTTGTAAGCAGCCATCCAGCTGTTAGGACAATTAAAAACAACTTAAGATTGTGCATCACATTTTTATTTTAAAATGTGATCTTTGATATCTTACCTGCTAGTTACTGGGTCACCAGTAAGGCTATTCTGATTCATGGCAGATACTCCTTTTTCATGTGTTGATAGTGATCAGTAAGAGGATTTGGGACTCCTTGAAGCAGATTGATTGTCTCTTTCCAAAAGTGGAGGGATAAGGCTTATACTGATGAGAAATTCTCATGCAGTTCCAGTGAAGCACAACAAAACCCCCACAGTATTTTTGCTCTGCATAGCACGTTTCTCCTCAGAGAGGCTACAAGGCAGGAAGCTACATGCCTGTGATGCAAGTAAACAGGCTCTTTGTATACAGGTAGTAGCTATGCATGTAACCCCCATCTGTGTCCTGTATTCAGTAGCCTCCTGCTCCCACCGGGCTAATCCAGCTCTTACTGAAGGCTTTGAGCTCACCTACTTATACATGGGCCTGGTCTGCTGAGCACAGAAAGGTGCTTCCAGCTGGGATGCAGAAATTCTATCTGGGATTACATCCTCCAACCCCACAGCTTGGAGTCTGGTACAGGAGCACTTTCTCCTTTTATAAACATCCCTACAGTGGAAGGAACACAGCTTTCCTGATAGCACAGCCATCTCTGTGGTCTGTAGAGCTGGTTTAATCCCAGAAGAGTGTTTAAATCACGTATTAAGACCAAGCAAGCTGAAATTTTAAACCATTTCCCAACACTTCAATGGATTTCCAGTTAGTTTTAATTATTAAACATCTGCCTGTGCTCCATTTTTAAAGCTTCTGCTGCTAAAATTCGCAGCACATATCAGTCCCTCAGACAACCTGTGCCTTAAACACAGCTGAGAGTTTTTAACTGCAATCCAAACATTCAAGTGGGGATGGGTGCTTGATGTAGGCTAACAAGTTTAGGCTGAGCTTAAATATGAGGAGAGCCTCCATTTGAGGTTCTTTACTCCTACAGAGGAGTCCCCCTTGCTTATGGCTACTCAAAGGTGAGGCTTTTTGAGGTTATTGTATGTTGTTTGCAGACATGGTTGTTGTCCCTAAGTAGTTACACAGACTTAGGTAGTTGCAGTATGTGATTCAGATAAATTGTATGTCCTTGAGACATAGCAACGTTTGAACTCATAACTGGTCTGAGCTTACTGGGATAACATCAATGCCTCTGAAACACTGAGTGTTTCAGAAGGTATTGGGCTGTTGCTGATTGATGGAAGGAGTTCAACAAGGTTGAATTTTGCACTTGTGCTAGAGAGAGTACTTAAGAATGGGTCTGTAAAGTCTTTTAAATTATAGACCTAGCTACATAAGCAAACTTCTATGCTCCTATAACATTTTCTTTCCCAGGGGATTCATGTGTATGCATGAGGACTATGGAAAACAAAATATGGAGAAAAATAAATGGAAGGAATAAAAATCAAGAGAGAGGTCGTAAAGGTGACAATACTAGTAAATAAAAATACTGTGTTTACATTCTTGTGTGTAAGATCAGCTCTGGACTTGGCTTTGAATTGTAACTTCCTCCCACTCTGAACTGCTATACTTTGAGCTTTATATTCCTTACTGAGCTCTCTAATGAAGGTTAGGGGAAAATCAGCAAGCCATTGTCGCTGCTGTGCAGTTTGAAGAGCTTGGGAGATGCTCCTGAGCACCTCTCAGCTAATATCAGAACTTCCCCTTCAAGAGCAGACCAAGGAGGGTAAGTCTGTGGTACAGCTAAGCTCTTGGCTGGGTGTTGGTCCTGGCAGTCTTTCTTCTGCCTCAGACTCTCCCCTTGCTGGCAGTGTCAGCAGGCTCACTAAGATAAAGATCAGCCTAGTTTAATATACGCAGGCAGGGCTGAGGTGGTCAAAAAGAGAGAGGAATGAATGAAGCGGAGTTATTGAAAAGCCTGTGAGATGTAGCCAGACCAAATGATACTGGGCATGTATCATGTATGATGAATTAGGATGAAAGAACTTTTCCTTCTGACAACCTCTTATAACTACTAGCTCTTACCCTAGAAACAAATTACTGCGAAAACACATCATAAGGCAGAAGCAAAGAGATGTGAATTCTGCAAGAGACAACCTCTTGCTCTAATAAGAGATGAGATGCCTAGGGACAGAGCAGAGAGGGGTGACCTAACCCTGTGCCACCCTATATGGTTACTTGAGTGTGAACATCATCTGTTATCAAGTTATAAAGGCTGGGGAGGGAACTCGCTCGCTTAGGGGCCCACAGCCAGCTTTGTGTTACCTTAGGGCAGGAAGGTGGAAGAATGAGACCTCCCTTGGGGTAAGACAAAGGAGGAGGGAAATCCATGGACACATCAGATGTAAGGTAGGAGGACAAATATAAGTATGAAGTGGGGAGAGAAATCACATATTATTTAGCTCATTGTGATGCTGCAATGCAAGGAGTGGTTTTAGTTGGTTGGTTGGTTGTTTTTTTATGTTGTCATCTTATATATTCAGGGAACCAATCCCAAGGTTTTTATCACGAGGACTGTTTGGTCTATCAAGATAAAGTCCATGAAACTGTATCAGTTTAAGAAATATAATTTTTTTTCTGCCTAAAATGAAAATTTCCTAATATTTGTCGTAAAAAAAAAAAAAAAAAAAAAAAATGTAGGTTTAGCAGCTGAATGTTAAGCACTTGTGAAAATTAGTATAACGTCTTTTACAAAATTTTATTTTCTATTTTCTTGCGAAGATGCTAGTAGATGTTTGGCCATGTTATGTTGGGCCTTTTTCCTTTAACAAGCAACTAGAAGTAGTATTTGTTACACTAATCTTATTTAAATGGCTCTTCAAACTTTGTAAACCCTGCATTCTCCTGTTATACCACTAGGTGTGAGTGTTGCAGCTTTTTCTGTTGTCAGTTTTGCAATAACGTATATAAAAGTTGCAGTCGTGTGTCCTGTAGAATTCCCAGTCACCCAAGCAGTTCCCAGTGGCACCATGATGACTATCCGGTGTGCAAATGGGAAATTGCCAAGTGACCACCCACTCCATGGTACAGCACCCAGCTGCCATGCAGAATACCCGCCCCCCCCCAGCTGCAGAGCAGACCTCTGGCTCTTGCATCCATTTTGCCAGCTGTACATGCATGTACTGGGGAGCAGGGGTTCCTTGTGCAGAGTTTTGTGCGACTTCTGCCGAGATGAGGATCCCAGAGTTGTCACTGGAAGGGAAAACACCGCTGGGAGACCTCTGAGGATTTCAGAAAGTGATTGTGGGAGTCTGGTGTAGAGAAGGGAGCCTAATCTGCTTGAATGGAAAAGATACACCTCCGTGTTTATTAGGAGAGAGGAAAGGTAGGGAGCGAAGGTCTTCGGGACAAGAACTGGTGTAGCAGTGGGTCGGAGGAGACCTGCAAGGCAACAATACCGACCCTCGCTCTGAGCCCACTTCGCCCAGGCACATTCAGACATTGAGAAGAAAGATAGTGGCAGCTAATTTGACAGGACAAAGCCCATCTCCCTGCTGTGTTTCCACTTTTTTTCCCATCTGTTTTGCTCCCATTGCAGGCATTTCTGGAGGAGTTTTTCTTCCTACTGTTTCCTCTCCAACTCTATCCACCTGTGTTTTCCTCCCTCAGTTTTCTTTTTTGCTTTATGTCCCTTTGTTATTTCTTACCTAGGCATTCTGTTAGAAATCTTCAAATTGGTTGCTGATTTCTGTACGGTGGGTTTTATCTTTTTGCAGTAAATCACTACTAAACAGTTATTTCTGTCTGGTATCTGTATCCACCATCTGAAAAATGTCTACCAATAATATCTATAAACATATAAATTCCTGCGTACAACTTCAGAAGCTTAGCAGAAATAGATTGAATAGGACATAAATTTATAAACCCCTGAAAGGTAAACAAGTTCTGGAATTTGTGGTTAATTTTCAATTTTATTGTAGCTGTAGGGATATGCTGAGATACTGATTTATTTCAGACAAGCCAGAGGTAAAGAAGCCATACAAAGTTACTGCAGACTCTTAATCAAGTTAAAATGTAGGTAAAAGGAATGTTAATAGCAACCTTCACAAAGGTTGGTAGATTTTGAAAGAAAAGTTGAGATATTTGGGAATTTTTTGCTCTTTTATTTTAGCTCAGGCACTAAGTGAGAGAATTCGGAATCAGGCCTATTTTACAAGCACATTAAGTGTTGGAAAATGAAATTAGTTACAACACATTACAGCGGTGCATTGAACAGTTGCATCTCATTCAGCACTTAAGCAAGCAAAGATCCAAATTTTGTATTGTGGCATGCAGGTACACTAGTAAAAAATATATATAGTATAACGTGCCCGAAGACAGTACCCATTTTGAATCCTTAAGAAAAGTCCTGAGAGAGAATGACCTTCACACGGATGCATAAACTGTCAAAAATACTACTACAACTAAATACCAATAATCACAAATTTATTGCATAATTTAAGGAAATCTTGCACAACTGAAAGATTAAAAAGTAGGAATTAGCCTCCAAGCAGCAATATATTTAAATATTTAAATGAAATTCCTTTACACAAGAGAGAAACTGTGATTTATAACATGAAGGCAAATCTGTTGTGAGGTTAAGAATAGCAGAAAATAATTGGTGCATTTTACTTTTTTCAAATGCCAGGTGTTAAATTGGGAAAATTCGCGTGCCCAAATGAGCCACAGTTTGGCCCCAGTCTTTTCTGCCAATCAGGCGTGCTGCCTGCTATGTGGAGAGGGGTGAATGAGCCATGATGTTGTACCCAGAAAGGGGATCCTTCTTCTCTACTTGTGCTTTCAGGCAGCGTTACTGTCTGAATTATAAAGCTTCTTTCTGATCCTGCAGGAGAGAAGGCTTTTGCACATCTTATTAGGGTGTAACATGGTAGGGTTGTGATCTACGCCCAGGCTGGTTTCTTCTATGGGAATGTTCCACATGACATCTAATATTTAACTATAATGGAGACATTTAGAAGCAAACATGTTTAGACTAGCTGATGTTTTAGAGCAGCTACTTCCCCCATTTTCTAGCAGTGTCACTTTTAACTCCATGTAGTTTAAAAATTAACATCAGATTTTTCTGTTTAATTTTCTGTTTCATGGCTTTCTTAACCCGTAGGTAAAACTCTTGGTCACAGAGTAAGTAACCATCTGTAAGGATGTTGGCCATTTTTCACAGGAGCTCACATAATCCCAAAGTCCCTCTTATGCACTGGAACTGAAAGGATCCCTACACCTTATATTGACACATGTAACTATACATCTTTTGTAAACTTTCAATAAATTCACTAAAGTTCTGAGTTCAAGTAAATTGTCCTACCAGGGAGATAAAAAGTACAGAAATAGGAGGTAAATTCCAGCAACCTGGACATCAGGCTGAAATAATATGCCAAGATATGATACAACATAGGTCAAAACTTAATATATATTCCTGTACATAATGAGAGCACTCACTAAACACAACATTTTTAGCATCTGAGTAGAAAATAAATTATTAGAGAAAGTTTCTGTTTCAGGAAAGAGTGAGTACAATGTGGGGGATGGATATTTTTAACTTGCCACTAAGTGGGAGGGGTTACTAACAAACAAAGCTGCATGTTAATAACCCAAAGCATGGTCATGGTCACTTCTATATGCAATTATGGGATCAGAAATTCACAAATATATCTTTTGGCAATACGGCAGACTTCATCTGTCCACTTGCCTTGTGATGACTGGGAAAAAAACACACAGTTTTCACGCTTCCCCCCATTTGGTTGGGCACGATCCCAATTGAAGTACTGTAGAGCCATGCCATTGACATCAACGAATTTCCCTTCATTTGTCATGTCATTGACACCCACCCAAAACTCAGACGCTCTAGGCATACTTTTCTTGGCATAATCTTGAAGAGTGTTTGTTTCATCGTTATTCCTTGGGATAGCCAGTGTCCCTCCCTTGGCTATGCAGTCTTCATTGGCTTCATGAAAATGTTTGCTGCCTTCAGATACAAGGTAGCACTTCTTATGGGCCTTTGTCCCACGAAGACAGACTGTGAATAGATATTGATTTGCATGTTAGTAAAAGCTTGGGCTATAGCTTTGAATAACACTTCCTAAAATTATAATTTTCTAAAGGTATGTTTGGAATTAAGCAGACAAGTCTCTCAGCAAGTGAAAGGCTCTTGATTCTACTGAGCGGACCTGAAAGTAGCAGTAAGATCAGACTTTCCTGCTATTCATCCTGTACGACCTTGTATGCAGCCAGTGTGTTAGTGTGCCTTTGGGAATTCTGAACAGACTGCTCACAGGAACTCTGCAAAGCACCTTGGACTCCAAGGGATAGCCAAAAGCAGAACTGCCAAAAGCAGCTGTTCCAGAGAAAAGGCACTTAAAAGGCAGGACAGGCACACCATGAAGTGCTTTGGAGAACCTTTCCTGTGTTTATGCTGATAAACCCCAGGCATGATCTTGAGCCCCAGATTCCCTCCAGTAGTGTAACATTCTCAAGGATTTTTTTTTTTTTTTTTCATTTTGCTGTTTCAGAATGCCAAAATAAAACCCAGGTCTGTTGTTGGTGTATCGTATGCCTTCTTTCAGCAAATAGTCATGCTTTCACACATTTTTACCTTATTTCATCAGTCTTAAAACTGATGAAATGGATGAGGTATGGATGTTTGTATTGTTGGCAGATGTGAGTTGGTCATCAGGAAATCTATACTTGGACTTACAGTAAAGAGACAGACCTAAAGGTCTTTTCAGATTTATGATATTTAAGTGCCAAAGAAAAGTAAAGTTTTATGCATTAACGAAGCCTAGTTCCTAGCAAACAAAGGCAGGTCAGAAAAATGTTATTTTAAATGTTTTCTGCTCACCAGAAAAATATTGGTTTGAAATTCATAATGCAAATCTTTCTGGGTTATTGATAAAAGTGTATTTCCACCTGCATAAGAGCACATATTTGCCTCTAGTTCTTAATTTCTGGTCTTTCCATCAAAGTCTAACCCTTCAAATGAAATTCAAATAAGGTAGAGTGACTTAAACTTATAAACACTTCTAAAAAGTATATACTTATTACTGAGCTTGCATGACAGTCTGAACCAAATAATCTAAACATTTGCATTTATAAATCTGTTTGCTTTTAGTTTTACTGGAACTTATCAAGGAAGTCTTGATGTAAAGTCCAAATGTACTAGAACATTAATTTGGCATGTGCTCTGTACCTGGAATTGCCTTGCAGAAGTGAATCCTTAAACTTTGCCTTCCAGCTCTCCTAATGTAGATGTGTGAAAACCTGATTCTCCCAAGAAAAATATGAGAACAGTCCTTGAAGGAGTGTTCCTTCTGAGCTGAGGAAGGTAGAAAAGGCCTTGAATAAACTCCTGTCACAATTATTTTTAGAATCCTGCATGTGACTATTTCCAGATTATTTCATTTATTGCTCAAACTCATCTTAGAAATATGTTGTGAAACAATATGAACATCTTCTGTCCTGATGTTTTCTATAATCTGTTTCTAATTGCTGTCATCTGTTCTTGTAAAAAAGTAATTATGTATCTGATCAACAGGACATGGAAATCTACTTTGGACCATATTCTGTATGTCTCAGTTTTTTAGTATTTTCAGTTGTCATATGCACTGCATTCGTTAGCTGCGTTTTCAGGGTCATCAATTTATATTAGGGCTTATCCTTCAAATTTTATCCCTTCCAACTGCTAGTGGCCAAAGGAAAATAATGAACGTTTGATAAATGTTGAATTCTTTAACAAATTTATATTATTGGGAAAGATCAGAGAGAGACCTTATCTACTTCAACAATGCTGCAGTAATGATGGAGATCGGCCTTCTTTAGGGAGAATGCATGTGCTGCTAAATGGCATATGGCAACATTTCACAGTATGCAGAAAGGAGACCTAAGAAATTCAAGCAAAAGAAGAAATCAGATTGTGATGTGTGTCTTGGAAATGTCCATAAACTAAAAAAGCAGCTCCTTTTTCAAGTATCATAAGGCCATTAATAGACACAGTCTGAGCTAGAGGGGTGATAGTTTTCTTTTTGCCAAATTTGGTATCCAGCTGAACAGTGTGGGTTCTGAATTTAGAATATAGCTCAAAATAAGTTTTGAGGATAGAAAATCTCTTGGCTCTAGTTTCATTTCTAAGCCACTGCATGCTTACTCTCAAGCTCCTTCTGGAAGCAATACAAGAAGTACTTTTAAACAAGAGTTACTTGTCTAACACAGACTCCCTCTTTTAAGAAACTTCTAAAGACTTCTTATAAGAAATTTAAAATAAAAATATTCTGTAAATCTCAAAAAGCTCTATGTAACCCAAAACATAAAACAGGACAACCCAGACACTACCATCCCTAAGGAAAATATGTTCTGCTTCATGTGAATGATGTAATTTCCTCTGTAGTGTTCTTCTGTACATGTTTAAATGCCAACAGTCAACAGCTGTGAAAAAGCACAACTGTCTAGTAGGTGCATGTGTATTTACCCTTCTTATTTTGTTTGGAAATTTCCATCTGGCTATTTAAATTCTTAAAGGACTCTGCACATTGATATGAGATATTTATGAACTCACAGTGGGTATTACTTTGAAGTTTTATGGCAACATTCACAATTGAATGTCACAAACTGCACACTTTAAAAAGGCTCAGTCCTTTTAGCTTCCTTTTCAGGGTATTCTCAGCCTTTTCTGTGAATATTTTTGTCTTGATTGTTAGCCTATTTTCATATCAAATCTGGGGACCTAACTCGCTGAGCATCTGAACTCTCAAACCAGCAACCCTCATTGTGTTGCCTTTGTCTCACTATACATAAAATCACAGCTTGGGGTTGTGCATAGTAAAGACAAAAGTAGTTCTTACTCCAGATTAATTCTTGGGTTTAGTGAAGAATTGTCACTTGTATGCCATAAGTTCAGACTTGATTTTACCTGAAGGCTTCTTTCAACATTTGTCTCACCATTGCAGCTATGGCATACCATACTCAGTAGTATTTCTCAGTCACAAATCCCCATTAAAGAGAAGGATAGGAGTGAAGGAGAGAGGAAAGGCAGTAATAACTTTTGGAAGCTATTGACCGGTGTAAGCTACTTTACCTGTCTGAAGTGCTTGCATTTCTTTCAGAGCATTTACTTCTCGCCACAATTTGTCAATCTGGGTCTTAAGGTCATCTTTTTCTTAAATCAAAGAAATACAGAGAAGTGAACAGATACACATGCAAAAAATTATATATATATATATATATAAATATATATATAAATTATATGTTAAAAGCTGTTTCAAAATTCATGGGTTTCTGCATTGCTGAGATGTTTTGATTTCTCTTAAAGACTTTTCCTTAATTAAAGGATTCCTGTAGGGTTCCTATAAAAAAAACAAGAGGCATCCATCTTTACCTTTCACACTCATAGTTTAAATCTCTTTTTCAGTTGGGCTGTATCCTAGTAACAGTTTGAAAATCATGGATTGTTTCAGCTAATCGTTATTTAGCATGCCAATATCCAATTTACAGCAAAACTTGCCTATTTACTTTTGAACCTGTACACCATGGTGTGTGTGTAAATATATATATGACATAAAAATAACAGCAGGACACAAGATGTATTTATTCAAAGAAATGTTATTTCTGTGATCTTGAAAGTTTCACACAAGTCTTGTTTTAACTTGGTAAGGAACAACTAATATAATCAACTTCACAGTCTGAGTGTATGCAAACAAACTTGCAGAGCTGCAATTTCCCCTCCCCAGTATGAGCCTTCTCTCCATCAGTACAGAGAGGGCCTGATGACTTGAGTTACACACATTCAGTCTGAGTCACCATTTTGTAGCACTTACAAAAGCACAAAGAAGATGGTGGCACAAGAAAATAAGCTAATTTGCTCATTACTCCATTTTCATGTTCTCTTTTCCATTCTTAATCATTATAATATCCCACCACCATCAAACAACTAACAGGCATGTTTCCATTGCCTAAGATGACTATTTGACTGCAGCAGTAACCAGACCTTCCAGAAGCCACAGTAATGAACATGAGGAATAAATAAGCTCTTTCACACGTAGCAGAACTAACAAAACCACAGTTCCTACAGATGTGTGTTACATCACCTAATCCTCTAGCTGCACCCCAGAAATCTCATCGCTTCTCCATATTCCCTGCTGCCTGTGGGGATAACACTAGCTGTTGTTCATGAATCCCTGGTTCGCCAAGGCAGGACTCCCAGTTCCTTGATCCATGCTCCTTTGTATGACTCCCAGTTCCCAGTAGCTTCCCCATGTTGCCTGTCTGCTTCAAAAAAAGCAAGAAACAGAGCAAGATGAGCTCCTGGTGCAACCTTTTCATAGTGGGACACTGATGGAGATTTTTTTTTTTTTTTTTGCACCTTCACTCTGAATTTCATAAAATATTGGGGAAACTTATCCTCAGGAGCTCCATTCTTCTGTAGTAGAAGGTTGACAGAAAAATGTGCTAGCAAAACAGATGTATAAGCAGCCTGTCCTTAGGACACTGAGCTAATAACTATAGAGATTCAAAAGAAGGAAGTCTATATAACTGTGTAGCTCCAGAGCAGTGTAATAATGTTGTACAATGGCTTTATCAAAGCTGTGTTTTTTTCATTGCATAGGAGTTTAAATATTTGCCATTAGTGTAACCTCCATCATACCCCCTTTTACTAGAAATAAGTCTTTCAATTAAATACACAGACATTTCCAAACAACATTCAGCACTTTTTTAATTTGCCCTGGGAATTTATTTTTTTCTGCTAATTCTTTTTCATTAGTTTGACTTGCTATTTCACAGTACTTGTCACACAGGTAAAGTAATATTCCACAAATATTAGACAGTCATTCTGTTAAAATTAGGAAATGGTACAAAAATCTGAACAATAACCATTTGAGACTGAATATCTTATTCTGCTCTTTTCCACCATATGTAAATGAATTTCCATTCTTCTGATCTTAGTCAATATAACTATGTAACTAAGAATGATCAGCCAGAGTCCTCTCAGCTGTACCTCTGAGTCCTAAATAATATTGACAGAGATGATAGGCATAACAAAGTAATATATTTACAACTGTTATACAATTCTATTTCAGTAACTCATTCTGCCACCTTATTTTTAGCTTTGCTAACTCACATAAAAATATTTTAGAGACAGATGTTATGCAGAATCAACTGTCCTTTGTTAATAAGGATTTGTATAATGTTAGTTTCTGGTTCATGTGATGCCAGTTAAGTACATAGTAAATTTGTATAGTCTATAAGCTTCTATCCCTCCTCCCAGTTAAAACCCTGTACCTTTCACTTTACGTTTGCTGTGCTTCCTGGCTTTGAATTTGGAAGCCTGGCTGATGGTCTGATCCAGCAGTAGTATGCTTATGAGTAGAAAAACCGTAAGTCCAGTTTGTGCCATGTCTCTTCTAAAGAACTTCACAAGGATCTCCAAGAGATTCTCTTTAGCAGCTATGAGAGCAAGTCACATAGACACATCTTGGTAGGGACTGACTGAGGTCAGTTTTATAAAAGTGTTGTGATAGGGTTGGCTGTACTCCTTGCTTACGAAATGTGCTTAACACTTAAGGTGGCTGCAGCATAAAGCACCCTCTTGTTCTCACATCTCATCTGAAATTCCTATTTCTGTTTTGTGTTCAGCTGGGACAGGTTGCTTTTACAGAGGCTGTACCAACACTGAACAGTGCACTGATTACCACTAATGAGTGCCATATCTCCTGTTTTAACTTTGAAGCCAAAATGTATGGAAAAGCAGATGGATGCTCAGAAATACCTTGTGCAATGCCAGCTTCAAGGAGGGATAGCCAAAACACTTGTACAAATAAAACAGGCTCACCCAGCATGGCTCTGACCCAAGCTGGCTAATTCATGACAATGGTCATGATCTTATTTACATTGAAACAAAAAATGAATTTACTCACTCCTGAGTAAATGCAAACATTGCAGCTACACACACACACACATATATATATATACACACCCTAAGATCACATCATGTGAGGAGTGCGTTAATTTATGAAGAGTTAAGTTATGACTGCATTTCTGATTAAGAACAGTATGTGCTATCAGCAGGGTCTAGTCAGGGGAACAAAAGATAGTGCTACTCTTCCAAATGTTCCCAAGTCCTGACTATATGGTCGGAGGAAGAGATGCTGCTCTCAGTAAAGCGCAAGATGCTCAAAGCAGGACAGTCTCTCTGGACTCTGGAGAGCTCTCTGCATTTGGATCTCTTTCATTTGCCCTTGGGCTCTGCTGAGTTTTGTGGGGCTGCCTTTTAATTAGGATTGGTGGACAAATGAAATTGTCACAATAATGCAAGTATCCCTCACACTTTTTTTTTTTTTTTCTCCCTCCTAACCCTCTCCCCTCCCCCTGGTAAGAGAAGGTTTATTTAAAATGTTGACACTGAACACATCATTGGGTGATGGGTACTAGCAGGCACAGTTCATGCCCTCTCAGAGCTGTTGTTCCATACTTCTCTGCCATCTCTGCCTTGGTTACATTCTGCTCACATTGCCAGATTTTTTTCAGAAGTGTAACAGCAAGAGACTTGTTACTTTACTAAATGAATGCTGAGATTTAGGGACGTGCTGTTAAATTACATGACTGTATACAGTTTTTTTCCAACCCCCACATACCGTCTAAAAGCATTTCACTACTTATAATGTAAAAAACACCTATACCATCTGTTTTGGATACCTTTAAACAACTAGCTATATTCTAATAATCTGTAACTAGTAAGCATCTATTAATCATTAGTTAGTAAACTTTTCATAAAGGTATCCTGATATGATAAAACTTAGTTTCAGTGGTCTTGCTTCAGAATATTGAAATATGTTACATTATGTAGGGAAACCTCTAGATCAACCATGCAAAATCGTCAGTGCTATTACAGAGCATGGCACACCAGAGATGGTTATTACAGGGTCCCACCCACCCAGGACTGCCTAACAAGTCAGTCGCACAGCTGCACATTTCAGTATACAGTTAAATGTGGAAAAGGTTATCATTCCAACTAGCATGCCAGAAACTGAAATGTGGGCTGTCAGAGAGCAAAACAAGGAGCTTTGCAAGGGTCTACTTCAAGATCTAATCTGTCATTTAGAACTAACCCTAAATTCAGGGTTGATCCCTATTCTATCCCAGTAATATTGGGGCATCAATATAAATTAATTAAGGTCAGACAGCTGAATCAATAACTGCCTCTAGTTAGTTTTTCGGTTGGTCCCTTCTCAGGGGTTATGGAATTGCACATGAAGCTGATCCTGAACCACTGCATCTTGTAGTCTGACATATTAAACTAGTGCTAATTTTGGATTACCTCAGTAAGGGAGAGGTAAACCCCTGGAGCTGTCTTACAACGTGCTTAGCTGTCCCACGGGCTCCAAGAGAAGCAGGACCAGCAGCTGAGATCAGCAAGCATTTTAGTGTGTGTGTGTTTAAGGACTCAGTACCAGAATGTATTCGTTCCTGCTCCTAGGAACTTGAGTTTTCTAACACAGGCTTTCTTTTCTCTCTGTGAAATGTGCCTGACAGAAAAAGATTTGTATTTTACTAAGGCAAGCACACAACTCACTAGATAGAGAGGTATAAAGAAAACACAGATTTGGTATTCTTAGAGTTCTTGGACAAGACCCTGAGTAAGAACCTGTGCTTTTTGGAGTATGCCATGTTATGTCCTTTTAAGAACAGAGTGCAACTCTGTTTTGAAAGCTTCATCCTGCTCATTCAGTAGTCTCTTTGAGCATTTTACCACTCTGCAGGTAGCTCAGCTGGACCTCACTCCTAAAACCTGAGTCACAAAGCTGTCCTTGCAGCTGCTGTGAGAGACCACAGGGTATAGGGGCTTGTTTGTCTAGAATTTGTCTGGAGTACCTGAGAAGTAGGTTTCACACTTATGACTAATCTATGGCAACTGAGGAAGAAAGTTTAAGTTCTTGTATACAGTGTGTGGGCATGAGAGTCAGAGAAAAGTCAAAATATGTTGCTGGAAAGATTTAAATTCCCAGTTCTGCCATGAGGAAGCAGGAAATGGAACCACACAGGTGGCCTAAAGCCTCACTGAAATGAGTACCTGGTCTGTGTATGGTCTTTAAACCACTATTACAGTGTAATTTAGAGCTGTAATTTTTCTTTTACTAGCATACTTATAGTAATATAATGCAGCCCAGAGAGTGATAATACAGCCCTATACACCTATGTATAGGTGTAATTTTTCCTGGGACAAATTATTCCTCTTTCCATATCAGAATGTGTTATACAAGTATAGTCTCATACCTTTATAGCTGCATCCAGACTAGGATGGGATTGTGCTTTTTTATTTACAGCTGTATAGGAGAGCTTCTGCATACAAACAAAATCATAGTTTCTTTTGAAGTGGTTAGTTCACTTCAAAGCATTCTTGAAGTGCTTTGTTTGATAAGAAACATCTTACGGAAGCCATAGCTGCTATACTACACAGGCACATGGTTTTATGGCTCCTGTTTCCCCACCTCATTCTGTTTGCTGTCAGACAACTGAACCATTCAGAGCAGAAGCATCCTTTGGTAAAAGGTTTATTTCAGTTTTTCCACAGAGGTTCTTCAAGGTAAAAAGTCTAATCCCCTCGGAGACAGTTATACCTTTATATGCCTCTGTAAACTGGCTCAGAAAAACTCTTCATACAGTTATTTTTTCCTCTCCATTCTCAGCCATCACTGGGTTTGTGGAAAGAAAATGCAATTGGGCACAGGGTATGAGAAGTCACTGTGAGATGGGGGCTGGATGCTGGGCTGAGATCCTGAAATAGGTCTGGCTGCAGAAACTGTTTCCTGTTGTGTGGACTAAGATCCTATGTAGGGAGATCATGTCCTTTACTTATATCCTGAGAGAGTAGAGCTACAAATAAAACACTACTTGTGAAAAATATCTTTAAAGAAAAATAATGCTTCAGCCTGTTGAAAAGCAAACTCCTTGCATATTGCTATTAGTCTGGCTATGTTTTATTGAGATCTACAGTCCACTCCTTGCTTCAGAGCTAATGGTGGTGTGGCATTTTTGACCAAACAGGAAACTGATGGGCTATATCTGCTACTGAGATCATAGAAAACAACTTTTTTTTGCAGCATTTCAGTTGTGGAAAATTCAGATCAGCATAGGATTTTGGAGAAAAAAAAAACAAAGCTTCTGTGTGGGTAACTATTTGACCCTTCTACTCAGAGTATAAAGAAAAAAATGAAAACTGATTAGAGCTGTTGCCAGGATAAGGTATTTCAAGTGGGGCAATCTGAAGAGCCAGTATAGACAACAAAAGTAGATAACACACAGGTTAATAAAAGGTTTATCACCTCCCGTTCATCAGGTTTTATAACTGTCTTGAGTGGCAAATGGAATTCACTGGTTGATTTTCATTTGTTTCAATTGAATGTAACAAATGTTGCAAATTCTGCTAGTCATGGATTATGTCCTTCTTGGAAAATTACTGTATGCTTGGTTTCTTTGGCCTTGAAAAGTCTTGCAAAGTCTTTCTTAAGGATTTGGTCTCAGGTATGAGGCAGGGTTATGGCTGACATCCCAATACCAAAGTTATTTTGGGGAAATTTGTGCGAACTGTGTGTTTAGAAAAGGGAAGGGATAACCTTATGGTATGTGAGGTTCTGTGAAACTTCTTAATGATATTTTGGGGTTTTGTAATCAGTTCAAGTTTTTTCCTGTCATGTTAATTTTCTCTTTTGAAGAAATTTTCTGGTTACAAGTGATCTTCTCTATTAGAATTAAAGGAGATTCCAGGTTTATTGCAAAACCAGGATGCCTGCCAGTGACCTGCACTGAAGGTGACTGAGGGCAGAAATGAGGGCATTCATGTCTTCTTTAGATATGTGATACTGCTATCCCAAATGCATGCCTCATCTTCGCACTCTGGCACTGATAATGGAATTGATCAATAAATAGGCTTCTCTAGGTGGTATTTTTCAGTTCCAAACCTAGATGTTATTATCTACAGGTCTGGTGCTTTTCAATTCTCATGCTGTAAATAGAAGCTTCAAAAAATGAAGAAATTTGAGATATAAATACTGGATATATACTGAAAAGATGGATCAGGGCAGCATTTTGAGCTTCTGGAATATGTGCTTTTTGTATCTATTATTTGAGGTCTTTGTCACAACAGCATCTCACGGCTGGGTCTTAGCAAGCAGAGAGGAAGGTAAACAATTTGCAAGGGGCAGCAGAAAGACTTGTATTACATCTAGCACATGTTTAAGGCAAATATCATTATCTATGTGACCAAACTGTTTCACCTGTACTCATTTCATTCTCTTGTAATGGCAGTGAATATAGATAGTAGGTTGTAAGGCTGAGAAAATACTGCTTATCAAAGTCAGAAGAGATTCACCATATCTACATGAAGCAATGTTAGCAAAGCCATTGCAGTCATTTTTCGTTACCTATCCAATGCCACTCTGCACTGATAAAGTTGCCTTCCTGCAGTGT